GGAGCTTAAAGTCGGAAACTGGAAGATATCCTCACTCAGAGGAAAAGAACATGAATTAGTTGATGAGGCCGCGAAGTACCAACTCGACATTGCTGGACTCTCGTCAACAAAACGCTCAGACTCCGTGTGTCTTTCCAGTGTTAAATTATGGATGCGAAACGTGGACCCTACGCCAAAAAACTAATCATAAACTGTGGACGATGCAACGCAGCAACTGTACGACGTTAGAGGGTGTATGTCGAAAGTAACGGGAGAAATTAGAAGACGTGTGGATAGGAGCACAAACAAGAATCTGCGTTGTCACTGTTCGAGTGAACAAGTTGAAGTTGGCAATGGGCAGAACTCGTTGCAACTATCCTACCATCGCGGGATTTCAGAGACATTTTATTGGGTTCATAAAGAAACTAAACGACTGTAAAAATACCTCCAAATTGGCGGAGGACGAGCAGAAGACATTTTTATATGTTAAGATGGATAAGAACCTCACAAAACGGATATTAGTGGCCAAGTCTTTGAGAGGGCTTCATCCAGTTGTGGGTCGAAAAATATACTACTGGTAATGTTTTTATTTTCTAAAGATGCCTTGTATAGCCATGTAACATGAAGTTCTATGACTCGTTTTGCTTAATCATTTTTAATCACTTTAATGATTATGAAATAAGATCACTCTGGATTACTGAGTTCACCCCAGAAAATTTCTGATTATGATATTGCTGTTTACGTTACCGCCCAGAGAAGTTATCCGTCCATATCAGTATGGACTAGTCCATACTAGTATGGACAAAAACTAATTTGCTTTGCGATAAGTAATGCAGAGTGTGTTATTGTATTGCTTTTACTGCATTACTGCTGAAGCCTCAGTGTTCGTCTAAGCTCCAACATAAAAGTAAGCATACAGAAAACAATGATGGTGCCTCGGTATAGGTGTGGGATTAGTAATGATCCTGTAAACTGCGATAGCAATAACTCGAACTGTCAGTCAGTTTCTGTCCAACTCAGTATGAACGGATTACCTTTATGGATGTAACATGTACAGCAAAAAGCAGCCCTTTGTTAGTCTAAGTGAAAGTGGATGTAAACTGCCAGAAGTTGCGTTTTCACACTGCACCTATTCGGTGTGGGTTGTAAATACCAAAATAGGAAGAAAATCAGCAAAATCAAAAAGTAACATCAGGTTCGATGGTAGGTTTAAGGACTCGTAGTATCTTGGATGCGCTTAGCTAATTCTGCGGCGGGAACTTGATTTCGTCTGCCATGCGGTGCTTTACAGTTGCATATAACGTGGACATACATGCCTAAATGTTCCAGCTTTTAGGAGGAATCTTACCAGACGCATCGCAGGAGCTGTTGAGTTTATAAAAACATTTTGAAGGCAAATTCATCTTCCTTTGCTTTGTATCAATACTACCTAGGTTTTCGAGAGAGAGAGAGAGAGAGAGAGAGAGAGAAACCATAAGTGGACATTTATGTCAGCATTCAGTATGTATATGCATGCTCATCACAAATGATGTTTCTGGAGCTTGTACTCCAGATATTCTTGCTACCCGTCAAATTTTGCTTTTTGTGCTACGCCTTAATCATACGTTTTTATTAATCTCTCTAGGAGATATAAGCAAGGGGGTTCGCCATGTATGTCTGCTGCCACTATTTGAAATATGATACTCTCAGAATTGGAAACTTGCCGTTTGAGTTGTAGCTACCCCAGAATATGGCCTAACTTTTTTATTTTATGTATTCATATGCGCCAGTTATTATAATATATTTATTTATTTACTGTCATTATCATACTTGCACGCAAAAATATCATTCCATTTTGTTTTAGTTGAATATTCTGCATGCATAGTTGCGGAATGCTTGCAC